GCGCCCAGAAGCTTCCACGGGACTCAGGACACTGCAGCTGAGGTGAAGCTGAGCGCCTGTGCTACCCTGGGACCCGTGAGCCGGCCAGATGACACTTGACCTCAGGGAGCCTGGTGACCATCCCTTCAGAGCCGGTTCCGCCCAGCCTGTCAGAGCGGCTGCCTGCCCACGTGGCCTTCTCCCCGAGCTCCTGCCCACAAAGGCGACTGCTCCACTTGGGCCCTGGCCCCCACCCCTCTCGCCACTAGAGGAAGTGCCTTCCGGGCTCGCTCCGCACCCCCTCCTAAGTCCTGCTGTGCCTTCCCTCCTGGGACACACTGTCTTTTCACCCTTGGGGAAAAAACAGTTCTTGACCACATCTTCTCCGTGGCTCTCGTCCAGTTCTCTCCCCTTCACAGAGGCTGCCCTGGACCTGCCACGGGTTTCTCCCCTCTCACTGGCTCTTGAACCCAGGCCAACAAGACCGCCTTGGGAGTCCCAGGCAGCTGCTCAGTGAAATCCACTTTCGCCCAGGTCAGCGGTCGCCCCGTCTGCCCAGGGCCAAGGGCAGCTCTCCACTGAGGTCCTCCGCTGTCGAGTCCTTGCAGTGATCTGCGAGCCTCTCTGGCCTGTCCTTCCTGGTCCCCGGCCCCACGGGCCTTCCCCAGAACTCACAACTTTGCATCTGCGGCTCCTCTCTGGGCCCTTCTTCTGCTGAAACCACAGAGTTCTCCTCCTTCTCACCTCGACTCTGGGGCCTCCTCAGAGAAGCCTCCAGCAGCCGCCTCGCCTGCCGCTTAGCTCGCTCCCGTCCCCCGGCCTCATTCCGCTTTCCTCCTGGCGGTTTGCTTTTCCGCTTTGTTTATATCACCTCCCCACTGAAATGCTGGCTCCGTGATGACGGGGATTTTTGCCCTTGCTTATAATCGTGAAAAAACTGGACTTAGCTTCACAGAAGTTCCTCACCTCACCACACATTCAGGAGATGCTTGATTTGTTTGTTGGCAAATAGCAGAAAGTGAGCTTGGAGGCCGGCAGGGGCCTTTTCTCTGCTTCAAGATCCCCCAAAGAAAACACCAGCTGAGAGTGTATGGGCCCCCAGCCCAGGACGTCGCGAGGCCCCCGGGCGACTCCATTCTCTCCCCACTCACTTTCTTCTTCAGTTGCTTCTCTCTCACCGACTCTTTGCTTTTTTCTCTCCCTGTTGATCTTTTCTTTCTTAACTAAGCCTTAAGTCTGCCATGGGCCCCAAAGGCCGTGCCTCAGCCCTGGGCCACGTGGAGCCAAAGGGGACCCCATGCTGACGTGTGTCCTCAGAGACCACACTTCTTCAGAGAAGTGTTCACACCTCTTCTCATCCTGCAAGGACACATCCAGTTCCTCTGACTTCAGAATGCCCAGTCAATGTGTCACACACGACCTTCATTCAACAGCCACTGAGCTCTGGGGGCCAGAGCTTGGAGTCCCGGATCTCCCTGAGGCTCAGATCAGGGCAGAGGAGCAGGGGCCCGAGAGGGGCCGGGCTGTGTGCTGGGCTGGGGGCGGGAGGGGGCTGCTCACGCGGCCGGCCTGGAAGGCTGGTAGGAGCTTCATGGAGGAGACCCGGAGGCATGCGGAGTGGGTAGTTTGGAAGGACCAGTGCTCCGCTGCCAGGCTCCGCTAAGGAGCGGGCATTGTATCCTGAAGGCCCTGATGGGTTTTCAGAAAAAGGTGAATAATATCCAACATGTGTTTCTCGTTTTCACCAAGAAAACTGGAAAGTGGCTGAGAGGAAAGGCAGCAGGAAGAGCGCTGAGAGGATGCTCTGTGGACCTGGAGATGAAAGAGCGGGTGAGGTTGGAGGAGGTGAGGGCGATGGGGATGGTTCCAGAACGCACATGCAACCGCCCACCTTCTGAAGTAGGATCTGAAGCGGAAGCTGAACTGTGCCATATATTCCAGGGAGACTGACTGGCATCAAGGAGCAGACAGGCCGGCTCCAGACAGGGTGGTCTGAATAAGTGAGGTTTAAGATCCATCCCCACCTTGCCCATCTGGAAGCCCCATGTTCCCGAGTACCTGCCAGCCCCAGTGAAGAGTCAGAGGGGCCCCGGGGAAGACTCACAAGAGACTGATGTACAAGCCGGGGCTCCTCTTCCGCTAGGGAAGATGAGTCTGTGCCGGCTGGGATGCCTTCTTCCTTTATCCCGGCCACCCCCTTCCCATGAACCCATCAGAGTACAGATAGGATGTGGGCTTACAGGCCATTTTGTGTAAGCTGCGGGGGAGAGGGGGCAGAGAACCAGGGGTGAGCGAGCAAAGATCACGTGGCTATGAGGATGGTTCCCTGAGCAGCCAGGACATCCCACCTGGGACCTGGCCTCCCCCGGCTCCCTCCACTCTGCTGTTTCCAAATCCACCTCCCGAGACCTTGAGGAGAACCAACAGAACGCAAGGCTCTGGGGGCGCCTGGGGACTTCTCGGCTCTTAAGTACAGAGCTGGGCACACAGTCAGAGACTTTCCATCCTCCTTGTTCTTGGAAGAATGTTTCCAGGTTCTTCTCATTCCAAGAAGAAGTGAGATCTTTGGATGATGGGGTGTTCATTCTCACCACTTCCCAGACCTGTCAGGGAAAAACTAGCGAAATCAGAGGAGGCTTCCCGACAAGGCGGTCTGCTTGGCAAGGACCCTGCTAGAAGAACCGGGCTGTTCCCGGCACAGGCGGAGGCTCGGCGGTGACCAGCTGAGCCCAAACATCTGTGCCTGACAGGATTTCTAAGCTGTGGGAAATGCTCTGAAAGCGGGTATTGCAGATACGCAAGGTCTGAGAGT